ATTAACTCTCTCAAGTATAGTGAAGCTAGCAACATGATAAAACTGCATGTCTTCGGCCGAGATGTAAGACAGATTGAGACACCACATGACAGAGCATCAGATTACCGAGGTCTACATTATCTATCGTGAAAATATTATAGAGTATCTATATTCTTGTCTTGAGTCTAAATCACACACATGACACTTACAGTGCCACATGCTTTTTTTTTTCTTTTTTTTTAATGGCTTTGGCACGATTTGTGCATTAACCAGCGGCATTAGCAGCCAGTGTAGGATTTTTATAATTCGTGCTTGTCTTTAGAAATTCGACCGTGTCCTCCATGTACGGTTTAAGCACTCGCCCGGTACCGCACAACCCTCCCAAAGGCCGAGAACAAATTTAAAATAAATTAAAACTTGCCCTCGAACCGGGAATCGAACCCGGTACCCCTCACATACTTTTCTTAGCCGGTAAGAGGGTCGCTGTCATGGATATTAGTATTGCCAGTAGATAAAAAATAAACCATTATAAGGGGAATAATTTGAATATTGGCTAACTTAATAATTTATTGAAATGTCTTTATAAAAACAATGTATACTTATTACTAGTATGTAGAAAATACAGTTCTAGGCTTAGATAAATGTGACACAAACTTAGGAACAACTGCTATGATGGGTTGTGTGTATGATGTTACCTATACTACTATTAATATAATATATTTTAAGATACCTAGCAATCAGAACCTTTCGATAATTAAAACTTTGCCATTGTAAATTAATAAAGCAGGGAATAAAAATAAAAAAAATTAGTTGGATTGTTTATTAGATCTTGGTAGATAGTAAAATTATTTGTTGAACGCACCAAGAAATTACAGCTAACTGACAATGTCAGTCTGCCATTTCAAAATGGCGACGGTGATACCAATTTCAGCAGCTGGCCAAGAAAAGTATCTGGCACTGTAAACAATTCGGCGAAGTCCGTCAGTCACATAAAACTCATAGTTTCCTATTTCGAAAAATTATTATTGCGGAAATCTGTAGCCACCAAGGCTTATAGTGGTGGGAATTCCAGAATGACAATATAGAATATGCATTTTTAAATTGAAATTTAATAAACGCAATAGGCGAATGAATGAATATTCGATACAATACACAATAATACTTTAAAATAATCCAATTACCTAGCTATGTGTCTGGTGGTGACTTTGTTGTTGAAATATTTTGTTTGTTTAATTCGTTCAAAAATTCATTATTCTGGGAAAGTCACTTCAAGCAAGACCTTAAGGCTAAATTACAAAATGGGCGTGTTCGGCCGAAGTAAGTACTTACTAAATTTAGTAAGTCACTTACTATGCTTACAAAATTTTCGGCCGGGACACAAAATAAGTGCTAACGCAGTAAGTATGGCTTAATATACGACGCCATTTTGCTTATTGTTGATGTAAACAAAACGGACAATAAAATATCCAATAAAATATTTCGCATAAAATTATCCATTTGAAACTATTCACAGGTATTAAATTATATTCCTAAATTTAGTACTGTCAATTATATTCAGTCTATGAGGTTATGTACGGGATATGACATAAACCGGTGTTTTGTGTTATGTTAATAAGCCAGTAAGTCTGTCCTGGCCGAAAAGCGCTACAGTCAGCTTGTAAGACTTTAATTTTTTTATGCTTACTGGCTTACTAAGTTTAGTAAGTACTTACTTCGGCCGAACACGCCCAATGTCTTAATTGTTACTTATTATAGTTACTGTTAATATTAAATTTTTATTTTTTGTTGTATTTACTCTAGGTATTTTAAAGAACCACCTTAAGTTTAGTTCGCAAATGAATTTCCGCCTGAGATGCCTTTGTGATCATTTTTTTTCCAGTTTCTTTGGAATAAGTTTATATTGTTGGAGAGTTCAGAAAGCAGTTATGTTCATAAAATAAACTGAAAGTGAAGTTTCATAACGTTTCTTTAAGGTTCTTGAGGCATTTTAGTGAAAAAAAAAATATTAAAAAGATAATGAAGGGACATCGTTTCTTGTCTCGCATTTTTAAATTTGGATCGGTAATAATTGTTGTATTTATAGCAATATATTATCAGTAATAGGTTATTTATCAATAAATAACCAATGTTTAATCATATTTAAAAATCTTAAGAGAATTAGATTTATATTGAAACTTTTTTTTTTAAATAAATTTTTGATTTCGCATTTCTTTTGAAAAGTCTAAAAACACACACTCAAAAATTATTCACTTATGCATATACATATATTATAGAAGTTAAAAATATCGCAAATAGTCACCACTATCACCTCCTAATGGGAATACGTCGAATTACCAATTGCCCTGTGTCAGGTACCTACGCAGTATTTGTCATGGCATCAAATTTGTCAAGGGCCTTGTGGCAAAGTGGTCTCGTTACGGGTCCCTTTAACCGTAGACGGAGATCCTTTAGCAGACTATAATTGAAATTATAATTTGAACACATCTGATGTATTGTGACCCGATCGAATAGCCGATGGCTGGCCATGCGTCATACTCGTGAACGGGTGCTACTTGTAGTGACTGGTCGTACTTTAATTCATGTATGCGGTCATGTTAGTTATTTCGACTCTGTATTTGCGTGTTGTTCCCACGAGAATGTAAGTGCGTGCTTCTATTACACCGTGCCTCCTTCTGATAGAGGACAAATCTTTGTTTTTAATTTATTTGCGCGGAACATGGTGTAATGGTTGCAGCTCCTTACAAACGTTGTGTAAAACAAAAAACTTGGCTATTAAAAAGAGTAGCGGAGAATTTATTGCCAAGTCTTCTCTTCCGTTATGTGCCCTTGATTAAAGAACTGGCAGTAAATTTAAAATTAGAAGCATTTCATTTTTTTTTTGACGTTCATAAGTGTACATTGTGTTACTTATATGAATCAATGATTTTGACTTTGAAAGGTCAATTCTCGCACATGGTATGGTGGTTCTATTACAATTATACTGCCGTAGAATAGAAAGAAATATAAATACAATCGGGTCAAATACATATGTAGAAGACCAAAGCCTTACAAGCAGTAATTCCATGGTTTTAAGAGGATCGTGTGGTATGCCGAAACTAATCCTTGGCCCCATAGAGAAGTTGCCTCCTTTTTTCGTTGATTCTCTTCGCTTATTAGATTCCATCAAAATTAATTAAATTAGTACTAGATAAAATACATGATGAAGGTTTTGCTCCAAGACAAAGTCTGTCAAGTAAAAGCCTCCACCATTACTTAGATGAATTGGGTGATAATAGGGTGCGAGGAATCCCAGGTTGGTTCTAGATAGTGATCCTATAATCAGCGCCTACAACCCAATGGTCTATCTCTATCGGGAATCGAACCTACCTAATTCTATCTCTCGTATAGTTAACTGGTTTAATGTAAATAACTTATTGCTTAATGAGAATAAAACAAAATGTATTAGATTTACAACTACTAGCGTAAAGCGAGATATTGGTAACCTGAAAATTAAGGACAGTGAACTAAACTTTGTTGACAAAACTGTTTTTCTAGGCATAACAATAGATAGTAAACTCCAATGGGGCCCACACATAGAGACTCTTTCGAATAGGCTGAGCTCTGCAGCATATGCAGTAAAGAAAATCCGACAGTTTACTGATGAGGACACGGCTAAAATTGTGTACCATAGCTACTTTCATAGCGTTATGTCGTACGGCATTTTACTGTGGGGTGCTGCTGCAGAGGTTCAATCCATATTTGTGCTGCAGAAGCGGGCTGTTCGGGGTATTTGTTGTGTTTCTCCGAGGGAGTCGGTACGGAATAAGTTTAAGGAATTAAATATTATGACACTATCTGGTCAATATATTCTTGAAGCATTGTTGTATGTCCAAAAAAATATAAACGATTTTAAAACAAATGGTGACTTTCACCAGTATAATACGCGAAATAGAACTAATTTGAGTGTACGACCAACCAGGCTCCAAAAAGATAAACCACTCCTTATATGGAAATTGTATTCGTTTTTACAACAAGCTCCCAAGCGAAATTAGAGAATTATCACTAAATAAATTCAAAGCCCTCGTTAAACGAAAATTAATCAACAAAGCTTTTTATAAATTTGAGGACTACTTAAATGATCCTAATCCTTGGGATTGAATTGCTCCAGTTCAAACAATTTGTATGACAATACTTGGCGATTAAAAAGAGTGGCGGAAAGTTTCTTGCCAGTTCTTCTTACCCGCTCTACGCCCTTGACTTGCGAACTGGTAGTAAATGTAAATTTACGATTAATTTAACTTGACGATTCAAAAGTGTACTTGGTTACCTACTTGAATAAAGATATTTTGAGTATGAGTTTGAGTTTACGACCTCAGGGATGAGAGTCGCACGCTGTAGCCAATAGGCCAACACTGGTTTTTTAACTGCTTACAAAAAATTCTTCTTCTAATTTTTAACAGCATACGCAACTTGGAACAAGCGTGAGAAAAGCATATGCGACTGCATACTTTTTAACACTACAGCGTTAGTGTGTGGGCGCATGTGAGTGAATGTGTGAGTGAATGTGTGAGTGAATGTGTGAGTGAGTGTGTGAGTGAATGTGTATGAATCAACTACATGTTAGGTCTCAGTAGCTTCTCCAACTCTGCGTAAGGTGTGTTCAAAAACCAGTCCTTTAAAAGTTTTTTTTTAAATTGGGTGGTGAGCGTGTAGATGTTTAGGAGCCTATAACATATTCAGTGGCGTAACAATAGGGTGGCAAATATTATGTTCTATGGATGAATGTGAAGTCTCCAATACGCATTGGGCTAGCGTGGGGACTACAGACCATTCCCTCTCGCCTAAAAGAGGAGGCCTATGGCCATTAGTGTGACATATACAACGTGTAATGTACGTAATATAATAATACGTACGCTAAAAATCTCGAAATTTATTAAAATTAAACTGAGTACAACGTGACGATTTTTACTGATAGGGCCCCATCAAAATCGTGTTTCAGCTAACAAAAAACAATGTTAGTAATACTATTGTAATACCTAGTCTTACCGCAACATAGCGACGTCGTTAATGACGGTGTCAGGATCGTACTGGGGGTGAATGACCGCTTCAGTGACTCTCATTTCCACTTCACCATAACCGTGTACCAAGAGATCATGTTCGCCCAATCGCACATAGAGACGTTTTCGAATACAATGTGCCGCGGTGACCACCCATCGCAGGGATACAAGTGTACCGCCGCAGAATGCTTCCTGGAAGAAATGTTTTACGTTCGTCAGTGTTACGATCTAGTGGTTGCCTCTCCTACGCTCTGTGTTAGTTATCTATATATTGACATAGACATAACATTTATTAATAACGAAATACACGCACAGAAACAAACAAAATAATAATCAAAAAATAAAAATAACAAAAAATTATGAAAAGAAAAAAAAGGAATAAGGTACTTACATTTTAATTGTGTAATGTGTGTGTGTTGTGGTTGTTACTGTTAATTAATACGTTTACTGTACTATTATTTTTGAGAACTTTGCTTACAAGCTTTGCTTGACAAGAGACAAGAGGAAGGGAGGGGGGGGGATAAATTACAGTAAATCTGCTTAAGTGCCCTGCGTAAGCGATCAAATTTGCTTGACAAATGTGTTTGTCAAACTTCACGTTTTCATCAAACAATAGCTTAAACGATCAAACCAAATATCAAACAAATTTGTTAATTTCTAGTAGATTCTGGTTTCTCCTTTCGACATTTAACTTTTCACCCCCGCTTCGTACGTGACAAAAAATTTTACCTACCTATGTATAATAATGTAGCGTAGAGAATAAAACTTGATAAAATTCTTCTTAATTTAGATACTGATGTAAAGTTTTAAGTGATATTTAACTCAGTGTAAATAATTTTTCAAAGATACGTGACGTCAGGGTCATTTTCGTTAAAGATTTTTGTTTTAATTATGTATAATTATATTCATATTATTACAAATCATATACCATACTCATAGCTTGATAATTAGTCAAAACTTATATATTCGTGTGGATAACTTATTAACGTCAAAACAATTTATAAGACAGGTACTAAATATAAATACCGTAGTGTATTTTATTCTTCTTCTATGCTTTCTCGGTAAAATAATATTTAGGAGTATTATTTGTATTATTTATTAATTTGGCTAACTCGGAGATTGTCAAACTTTCGCAATACAAACTCATCAAAAGTATTAAACGCCCGTTGGTATCTTCTGTGCTCTTCCGTCCTACAGAATCAGCCGACTATAGCGTAACCGTGTTAGCATAATCTTATATAAACTCTAGTCTTATGCATTTATGCAATAACAAGATAGTGTATGTACATAAATACTAGACATCTCGCACACAAACTCAAAAACAGTCACACACTTACAAATTTTTAAGTGTTTATACTTTGTATATTCTTTTTTTGAAGTGAAACTTCTTTAGGCGCATGAGGGTAAAGTTTTTAAAAAACGTCACGAAGATGTGCACCGTTTTTGTCAAAGAAAAGGGAGAGAGCGATTGAGACCGATTGAGTGAGAAGGGTGAATTACCTTATAGAAATTATATTTGTTGAATTAAAATTTCGTAAAGAGAATTTATGAAATATTAGTATTTTATATTTTATGCAAAATAGTTTATTGAAATCTCAAATGACGATTTGTAAATTAAAATGCCACGTGTTTTTATTATCTAAGAAATACATTAAAAAGTTCAATTTATTATTTGTATTATATTCAACACTTTTAATATTTTTATGACAATTACATTCATTACATTCCTAACGTATCTTCCTTTTTCCCTCCCTCTAAGCCTCGAAGAAATCTAAAGTTTTAGATTTGTATAAATATGAACAAGAGCTAAAAATTAGTTTGCCAAAGAAGTTTTTAAACCAAGTGAATAACAAACCACGGAAGATGATCTGGTCACTCACTCACTTAACAGGCATGTCCCTGTGTGGAGACCAGGGTCTGATTGATTAGCTACCACATTATTTTGTTTTTTTCGCGAAACAATCTACGCAGTAGAGCAGTGTTGGCCTAGTGGCTTCAGCGACTCTCATACCTGAGGTCGTAGGTTCGATCCCCGGCTGTGCACCAATGGACTTGATTCTTTTTTTTATATTTTTAATCTACGCCGTATAGTTTCATATGATGTTTAAATAATCACCTTGTATCGGTTCAACACAGCGACTTGCCAAATCCATTTTCCAGGTGGAGCAGGCCTTCCACCAATAATCCTAACCATATCTTGCATATGTGCTCTCAGTCTACTCGACGGAGATCCTCGGTATCTACCAAGCCTCCCACAGGTCATTGACTGTGAATATGATCTGGAATCTTCTTCATGGATTGCTGGGACTGGTGTTGGTAGGGACTCTACCTGGTAATCTGAAAAATACGTTAAATTAAGAGTCACTACTTATATATATATATATTATTGTTAAGTTATGTTATTGTTTTTATTTATTTAGTTATAAAGCCCACAACATCACACACAGTCATAAGTCCACCAACTATTTCACAAAATCCCACATCTAAAATGTGTGACAGTTAATGCAAGCATAAGTTTCTCAGTAATAAAATCAAATAGAAATTAAAAAAAAACACAACTAAAACACACACGACAATGCAAGCACACATTAAAATAAAATAATTTTTTTAACATAAACATAAAATAAAATAAAATAAAATTTTCAACAACTATGTGCAGAAAAAAAAGAAAAATCATCAGAAAAACAGCGAAATTAGGTTCTAGAAAGGCACCCCACAATGCTTTCTCTAAAACCGATCAGCCCACTACCGAATATATCCAGCTCTGGATACGCTGTGTTCAATTTGTTGAAATCGCGAAGAATTCGAACGAGAGGTGCCTGAACTCCTAGGTTGGTTTTGGCAGATGGAATTTGGAATATATTGTTAATTTTAAACCTAGGGAATGAGTAAAGGACGACAAATTTGATTTCCTGTAAAAGGTCACTGTTCTGTAAATGGTTGTTGAGCAATTTATACAAGAATGTAACACCGGCTAGAGCTCTCCGATTGTTAAGAGATAACATATTAAATTTTTTAAGTCGCTGATGGTACGGTTGTCTATGTGAAAATCCTCTGCTTATGAAAGCTAGGTGTCGCGTAAAAGATCTTTGTATGCTTTCAACGCGTTGCGAATGTATCGCATATAGTGGATTCCATATAATACTACCAAACTCAACATGACTGCGCACCAGAGCGTTGTACAAAATTGTTTTAGTCGTACAACCAAAACAATCCGCATTCCGTTTAAGAAATCCAAGCATTCGTGCGGATGTGGTGACTACTTTATTGACCTGCGATGTAAACGTTAATTTTTTGTCAATAATAACACCCAAGTCACGAATCTCCTGAACCTCCTTCAATGGCGCGCCGTCAAGCTTATACACAGTAACAAGTGTTTTTTTTTCTTGTGTATTTAATATGAAAGCACTTATTTATATTGAGGATCATACCATTTAATAAGCACCAATGTTGTATACCATTAAGATCACTTTGAACTAGAGCAGCATCACAGACAGTGTTAATAACTTTATAAATTTTTAAATCATCAGCGAAGAGAGACGCTTTACAGTGCTTTATATGATTCTTAACGTCGTTTACAAATAGTAAGAATAGCAACGGTCCCAAATGAGATCCTTGCGGTACACCAGATCGCGCAATATAGGGAGTAGACTCAGCGCCTCCAACAACTACTGACTGAGGCCTGTTACGAAGATAGGACCTAAACCAGTTTAGCAAATTCTCTCCCATTCCATAACCACGAAGCTTCTGAATCAGTAACGCGTGACTGACTTTGTCAAAGGCATTGCTAAAGTCAGTATATATGGCATCAATCTGGCGCCCACGATCTAATTCCTGACATGTTTCAGTAACAAAAGACATGAGGTTTGTTTGAATTGAACGGCCTTTTCTGAAACCATGTTGCTCATCAATGATACAGCCGTCTAAACATTTGGAGATTACGGGATACAGGACAGACTCAAAGAGCTTGGAAAAACAAGATAAAATACAAACAGGACGGTAATTTTTTACGTCGGTGATATCTCCCTTTTTATACACAGGTACAACACAAGACCTTTTCCATACTTCAGGAAAAACACCATCTTTAAGAGATCTATTATAAATAATAGTTAGGGGCAAAGATAACACAAATCTACATCGTTTTACAAAGATAGGAGGAATCGAGTCTGGCCCAGCTTTTTTGTTAATATCAAGACCTTTTATTTTCTTAGATATTTCATCCTCTCTAAAGCTAAGGGACATTAGGCCGTCAACATTGCCAATGTCGTCTGGAGTGGAACTGCCAACAAGTGATTCATCACAAGTATAAACAGATGAAAATTGATATGAAAAAAGATTAGCAATATCAGGTGATGACTGGGCTGTAACATTGTCCATTTTCATGCAAGAGGGAAGCGATGAGTGACCACCTTTCCTATTTTTAATAAAACTCCAAAAACATTTAGGATTATTAGGAATACTTGCCTCAATATTTCGCTTATATTTAGTGTAGCAATCATCATAAAGTTTGTGACAACGTTTTCTAATAATGTGATACTCTATTTCGTCTCGAGGATTCTTGTATATTCGATACCTCTCACGTGTTTTTTCTTTTTCAGCAAGTAATTTTATTAAGGAAGAACTGAACCACACCGGATACTTAGATTTCGTGATGGTCGTATTAGGTACAAATTTGCTTATAGTGGTGTTAAGAATTTTGTAGAACTTAGATACCATATCATTAACATCATCATGAGCGCGTAGGCTATCATTCCAATCAATGGTTTTCAGATCCCCTATTATAGACACATAGTCAGCTTTATAAAAATTTAGTTTAGTGTTACCTCTCGTTCGCAAAAAGGATATTTTAGAATATTCAAAACTTAACAATAAACTAGGATGATTCGCGTATATTTTACTTAACGAGTCGGAGGGGGCTGATACATTAATACTAGACATATTACTTAATACTAAATCTAAGAAACGATCATCGCTATTACCTATACTATTAAATTGCTTTAGGCTATTCATAGACATAAAATCATTTAAAGAAAAAACGCTTTTACCGGATTAAAGTTATGTTTATTATTATAAATTTACAACTATTTGACATAATTTTAAATTTATCCGACGTTTCGCGTGCTTTACAGCGTGCGTGGTCACGGTGACCTTTAAATGTGTAAAGGTTATGTTAATCAAAGACAATACGACATAAAATCAATCAAGGCAAAGCCAAGTGTATTGATTATTGTTTTTATTCTTCTTTTTTGTGTTGTTCCGTCTGATTTAATAATTATTAGTATAACGATAATTATTGCGTTGGAATATGTTCACACATATTTCATCGTCACTTAGAGTATATTTTAGCATCTTGAGATAACCGTTAAGAACCTTCAGACCAGTCAGTCAGTTAGACTAGGATGAGAATCCTCCATTTAGATTGGAGCTTCACAATCCTTCCTACACAGGATATTTAGATCAACAATGGTAACAAACAAATTAATATAAACGCGACCCCCACATCTCTATCTTTGTCGGAGTTGACAAAGCACGACTTTTGTAATTTTTTGAGTCACTATGTTTTCTTTTTTTTATAGAACTGGGTGCAAACAGACAGGAGGCTCACCAGATGTTAAGTGATACCGCTGCCCATGGACACTCTTAATGCCAGTGGGCTAGCGAGTGCGTTGCCGACCTTTTAACAATTGGTACGCTCTTTTCTCGAAGGACCCTAAGTCGAATTGGTTCGAAAATACTTAAATCTGTGAGTAACTTCTCAATAGTTGTCTACCCGCTGTCGTACATAACTAAACAATATCATAAAATCAATAGAACTGATTAGCCTAGATCATCATAAGTACCAAGATTTTTATTAAAACCCAGGTAAAATAAATAGATGAGAGTGGCGAGGCTAAAAATAACTTCAAACGTTTTCTTATAAAAATTAAGTTGTTTAAATTTGCAAAGTTAATTCGGGAAAGTGAAACTCTTAATGAATTTGTAACTTCCGAAATCGCGCATTAACCAGAAAGTTAGATTTTAATCTTCGTGATTTTATTTGGTTACACAAAGTTTATTATAAGAATAATTTGAACTTTATTGACGTTTTAATCGCGTTTAAGATAAATGTACTTCCATACTAGGACATAAAAATATACATCGTAAACTAATTATTTATGGCGTCATCAACTATTTTAGAATTGGCCAACAAGAACTGGAATTTATAACACACACAAACTGAAATAAATTCTAATATTTTTTTCATTTTTAATTAACTTTTTCCCGAGTCTTTGTGACCGAATAAAATTAACCACGGTTATACCTTGATCTTTTCGCCTGTGCATCTTCGCTCGTATCCAGAGGTGGCAGTAACTTCCCTCCAAATAACAATATGCAGACTGTTTTATTACTTTACGTCCACATATTGCCCATTTTTGACAGTGCCTGTAAAAAGAAAAATCTAGAAAATGTTGTGTAACTCTTGGACTTTCAAGAAACTACATAGTAATTAATAAGTCAATTAATATCAGTAAATAAGTTTACAGAACAATTAAGCATCTCATTTGAAAGTATCTAAATCAGAACTATTTAAAATATGTACTCGGTTATATTTTATTCTTGTTTTATTTTTTTAGTATGAAAAGGTAAAATTGTTAACTGTGCTTTATGTGTATGTTTTAATGTGTATTCCGTTTTTGGCTTTTGTATATAATGTAATTGTTTGGATATTGTTTAATGAATAGCTGTAGGAATCCTGATGAGCAAATAAATGAATAAAGATTTTATTACCTCTTCCTTACAGTCGTGCACTTTTTGGAGCATGTACTCCAGCTGGTCCAGGGTGAAAACCCCATAAACCTTTTTTGGACATCTACGTTGTCTAATTGCTTTAACCCCACCTAAAATTAATAGATAGATATTTCTATAGAGGCCAAACTTAACTCTCTATCAGAAGCAACGATAGATATGTGCAAGCAATATATTATTCAAATATTTTTTTATAGAACAGGCAAGCGGGCAGGATGCTCATCTGATGTTAAGTGATACCGCCGCCCATGTACACTCTTAATAGGGATCGCGAATGCGCAGCCGGTCTTTTAAGAATTGTTACGCTCTTGTTTGAAGGACCCTAAGTTGAATTGGTTCGCAATTACTTTAGCGGCTGGTTCCACAAATTGGTGATGCACGGCAAAAACTAACTAAATAACACTTAGTTGTGGAACGATGGACGTCAAAACGGATACATATACATTAAATTTTGTTGACACGTAAGATTATTATTAAATATGAAAAACTAATGCATTTGTCAATAGCAACTCTAATTTTACATTCCGCCCTCATATATTGATAATATAGCTTAATCGTACACCATTAAAATACAAACATACGACACAAGACATTAACATTAAGTAATAAAATAAAATGTTATATATAAATAAATCACAAGTAGGTATGGAATCCACTATATCCATTCGCAACGCGTTAGCATTATAGCATAGACATCCGTACCATCAGCGACTTAAAAAAATTAATATGATATCTGTATGTTCGGAGAACTTTAGCCGGTGTTACCTTCTTATACAAATTGCTAAATAATCATATACAGAGCAGTGACCTCTTACAGGATATTAAAATTGTCGTCCTTTACTCATTCCCTAGTAGTAGTGATACACATTTACTACTTTTTTGTATTTTTGAGTTTCAAGTAGCTGTCAATTGTTTTTGTTTTGTGTCCTGTGAGTTGTTTTGTCCTTACTCGGTTGTTAGTAAACTTGATTAAAAATCTGAGACCAAAACCAAATATTTAAGCGTATATTTCATAAAATAAGGCTACGCCATAACTTGTATTTAAGTTCATCATAAGGTGGAGACATTTTCCCTACTTAAAACTTGTGCAACTTTCAGATTGAGTTTAAATTACGACTGGCAACACTTAAACGTGTTAATCAGGAAACAAGTAGAAAGTTTCTTATGAGTATAAAGAAAATTTACGTCATGTACTACGCCATTACGTTCCTGAGTTCGATTGGTGAAAGAATAATAGTTTTGTGTAGTAAGCCACAAAAGGCAGATTATTTTTAAAATAACATAATAATTGTTATAAATTTGTGGTTTTATAACCTAACTTAGTAAAAAAACCTTACCTTAGAGTAAGTATCTGTGCTAATATTATAAAAAAATTGTATGTATTTATTAGTAACGTATTAGAGCAAGTAGCAACGGAATGCGGGGCTGTGGTTTCCCAACAGAAATTCTCGGAGCATTGAGGTCGCTTCCTGAAGTGCCCAGGAAACTTCTAAGCTTCTGGAAGAAGCTAGTCTGTCTCAATTACGCACAACGGACCAAATGGGCGTCTAAGTGTGAAAACTGAGTCCACACTACATACCTAAGCAAAAACTACTGGAATTCTGCAATATTAAAATATACATGCAAAGTCGAGACAGGTCGCTAGTTATCGATGACGAATTTTAATTTAATTTAATTTAATTGTTTAATTCAGAAAACAAGGTTCCATAACAATGTTAGTAAATTACAGCTTAATACCTTAAATCTAAGTGTTAGTATGTTTACATTAATTCATACCGGAATCATTCCGCATGAAATAGAGGAACAGTGATTCAGGTATGGGCAATCGACTCGGTCCGTAATAATGCGGAGGATACCGTTACCGCTAGCTCTCACCCTGCGCACCAAGGATGCACATCTCTTGCGTATGGTGGCGTAAAAACAATCCACCCGCGCCTCAGCAAACATCCCCGATGCCCTGCAGAATCGAGGCAGCCGCAACAGCACCCTGAACGCATTATTATATTGGATACGGAAAGCGCTGTATGACAATCGAGTATATTTCGACCATAAGGCGCTCGTATAGAATGATGTGCAGAATGCTCTAAACAAGGTTACTTTCACATCAATTGAGCATCGTGCAAACCTGCGGGCGATCATGTTCGCCCTGACACACAACGCTCTCCGTTCCCTATCTATATCAGCATCGTCCCTGAGGTCGGGTGTCAAAATGTGTCCAAGATATTTAAATGTTTTTACAATTTTTAAAGGGACCCCATATAGCGACATGGGGGGTATACTGGACACACCCTTCCAACCGGCCCCAAAGACCATGACTTCACTTTTATTTACATCATACCCGAAAACGCGCTTACAAAGTTATTCCAGCCAGTAAGGATATACAACCAAAAAATAAACAATAAATTAATACCATTCGTATCACCTCGACGTCCGTCATTCCACAACTGCGATGAAGGCAGTTTTTACGCACCACCACTTTGTGGAACCAGCTGCCCACTGAAGTATTTCCGTACTAATTCGACTTAGGGTCCTTCAAGAAATGAGCGTACTAATTCTTGAAGGGCCGTCAACGCTCTTGCGAGTGTCCAATGTGATTGTCCACGGGCGGCGGTATCACTTAACATCAGATGAGCCTCCTGCCCGTATGCTTCCTTTTACATAAAAAAACTTTACAATAAAAATTATATATTATATATAATTAATATTATAACTAAGGTATGAATAGCATCTACACAACTGATTCTCTTGCCTTGAGTTGAATTTTTTATCGTATTATGATGTGTTATCTACTAGACTTACCACTTTAATTTTCATAAGTCCTTCCTCACTATCTTCCCGTCCTCGCGACTCACGCGCCGCGCAACTGTAAACACGGTTTGTTTCCGTATATGAATATCAACAAACCAATTCTAACATTTCCTCACTCATAAGTATCGCAATACAGCGAGGAAATGCTGCCAACATTGAAGATATAATGCCGGACCAAACTTATAAAATTTATTCTAAACATTATCTTATTTATTTCCTTACATATTTTCAATTAAGAACAGTGTTGGCCTGGCTTCAGCGTGCGACTCTCATACCTGAGGTCGTAGGTTCGATCCCGTCTGTGCACCAATGGATATTCTCTCTATGTGCGCATTTAACATTTGCAACAGTGAAGGAAAACATCGTGAGGAAACCGACCCAAATAGTCGACGGCGTGTATCAGGCACTGCAGGCTGATCACCTACTTGCCTATTAGATTTCAAAATGATCATGAAACAGATTCAGAAATCTGAGGCTAAGATCTAAGCAGGTTGTAGCGCCACTGATTTATTTTTATTTAACATATTTTCAATTACAGTAGATATTTAAGGGTTTCATTTTTATAACGTTCAAATATGTTAGATATCAAGATTCACTAGGTAATAGTGCATAGTAAAACCTGAAACCCTGTGTACAATTAACGAGTGAGCGATCGGTGAAGGTTGGGAAACCGGCATGTCTCGGTAACTATATCGGCGTATGACATTTGCCAATTCGCACTTGGCCAGCGTGAAGAAATAAGTCATTGAAAACATCTTAGGAGAGCAAAAATTAACATGTTGATGCTGATGTACTCATTGTTTTAAAGAATAAGAATGGCCATTATCTTACTCCCCCCTTAATATCTTTTTAAACGCAATAACGCTAACATTTATGTATCTTAGCTAATTATACGAAGAGTTCGTAGTTTTTGAGTCTACATTACACCCTTCAATATCGTTAATCTGAGTTTAAGATTTTTCATGTCAAGTGTCAGCTGTCAACCTAACATGTGTCAAAGATTTGTGTTATTAGTCGAAAAAACGTTCTTTTTATTATTTTCATTACCATAGACGATGAAAACGTATGCAAAATATGTAGAAAGAAAAAATTAGCTCTTTCTCATTTTTACAAGTGAAATACTCTATCTTATTTCTTTGATTTCATTATGGACAATCCACTTAAATGTTATACCCACCGAGCAACTTCAATTCTGAAAGAATCGCCGCAAATGTTTCTACGTAAGCAGTGTCGCCGCCTAGTTTTACGACCGGCTTGGCATGCACTCCACCTTCCCCATTCCGAGTAAATTGGTGTCTTCTCATCACCTAAAAGGGGATTAAAGCAATAAAGCTAGCAAGCTTCTAATTCGTTACATTTTCGGCTTGTAATTCCGAATAGTTTGCCCGATTCTATAAATTCTTCGTAACATTCTACATCTACATTTATTCGTAAGATAAATTGTATGGTTTAGTTTTATAATAACGGAGGTCCTGGGTTTGAATGTTCTACTAATATTTACAGATACCGGCAAACATTTTGAACATTAAACAAAGGAGTGGGGGGAAAGTTTGCGAATCGTACACAAACGTCAACTGATTTACCAAACACGCGATCGACACGTCACACTCCCCCCAGAGCACCGCACTTAAGAAAATGGATACATTCACTAACAAACAAAATGTATATACCTATAGACTCAGATGTTCAGACTCGTATTGCAATTGAAAAATGTGCACGGCCAAAAAGGTTTGGCGTCTCTGACATGTCAAAAAATGATAGCCGTCAGAATTCTACGGAATTAAAAATCGGCGTATAAACATTCCCTTTCGTATCCTTTTCATGTCCTCTTTAAACCCATAGGTTTATATAATACCTAACAAATACTTAAAAACATATGTACTAATCAATTTAATAAGGTTCACAATGCTCACCGTTATCAAAATCTTTCCGCACGTGGTCTTCAATAGCAACACCAGACAATACATCGCTATCGAGCTGAAAGAGACGCGAATAAATAATAAAATACAATCAATCTGGGTCAAATCTTTACCCATTGTCAAATTTACCCAATATTGAAATGCATTTCTATGCAATAGCTGCACAATTACACTATAGCTAATATTTCCGTTTGAAATTGATTTCCGATAGTTGGCATAGAAAAGTTTTAGCCATCGTACCTGTATAGGTAGCCCACAAGATCCTCTAATGAATAATGAATGTACATATCTCATTCGGATACAACATAATAATCGCTATTTGATATATTCGGTAGTGGGCTGATCAATTTAAAAAAAAGCGCTGTTAAGCGAATAAAGTCTCAAATTCTCAACTTATTTTCAAATAGGAAATTTCTCTACTAAAAACTAAAATTTGTAGTTTGAAGTGAAATATTTTTAGTACTTTTTGTAGAATTTATGTTTATCGTAATTGTCATGTATTTTAGAATAGATAGATAGTAACTTATAGTGTAAAAAGGTTTTATATAATGATACACACACTTAAATAAATGTGTTTTAATTGCTAAATTATTTCAGTAACTATGTAATTATTTTTTCAATTACTGCGATCAACAATAATTTTAAATTTATCGCTTTCTCTGTTAAATATTTTCCAAGTACACCACAGTTTAATATTTTTCTTATAGAACAGGAGGCAAAACGGCCAGGAGGCTCACCTCATGTTAAGTGATTCTCAATGCCAGAGGACTCGCGAGTGCGTTGCCGGCCTTGTAAAAATGTATTTAAATTGTAAAAATGTTTTTCAATTTATACTGCGATCAACAATAATTGTGAATTTATCGCTTTTTTGCTAGGTCTTTTCCGACCATTTGTGCAAATGGAAAGTAGAAGTAAAAATATATTTTTGCCATAGCATTAATTCATCAATGATTTCTACTTATAAATAAATATAAGAAGCTTTACAAACAGCGGTAATATACGACTCCTTAGAGGTATTTTAAATATAAAATAAAAAGTGTGGAAAATATAAAATAATATTACGTATGAAATCGAAGGCAATACTTACATTATGACTTAGGAACATTTCTAAATCTATAATAAATAAAATTAATGATATATGGCACAGCCGCGACATTTTTCCTCCTACGCTAATCTGCAGTGACCGGAAATCGGCATCTGAAAAGTTTTAAATTCTTAAAAAAAATAAAAAAAAATTATATTAATGGTATTACAATTTACAATTATTTTATCGTAATAGGGACCAAATTGTTTTTAAATTTTGATTTATGTATAGAAATGTATATTATTAAAATATATTCATATTATTACTATTCATAATGCCTGTTGTAACATCAATGCGAAATGAGAATTTACAAATGACATTTGTAAAAAATATTGTACATATTTTTAGAAACTTATATTTTTATTTTATATAGTTTATTTTCAAATAATTTCATAACACGATGTACATACTAACTTACACTAAATTTTCTCGCTAAGTGAATGTAATTCTTTGAGAAATAAAGTATCTTTGAACCGAATTTTTAATTATTACTATTACTACGTAGAAATACAAAAAATAATGGTAACTTAATAGTACAATTTCGGAATATTCCGACAACATTTTTTACTTTTTGATTGCGATTCATTTATCTCAGTTATAGGTACAATTTATTTATTGAATGTAACGTGTTCTCTATATTATACACAGGACAGGAAATATGTAGTCGAAAAGTTCGTAAGACCATATTACCGGCTACGGCTTATGGTACTTTTAACTCACAAAAACATAGTTAATTTTAATATATGATTAATACCATATGATTACACGTTTTTATTCAAACCCGTAGTTTCTTAGGTTGACCTCACCAACTGACGCAGACAAGGGAAAGGTAGCAATTGTTCTCGTTTTTGCAAATTTTTTCATTGATGCTTCCCTCCTACTAATTGTAGCCTCTATAGCATGCTACTTGTTAATTTAGCGATACATTTAAAAGATTTTCATATTTTCAGTGGTTTTAGATTTTACAAGCAAACATCTAATCTTTTCTGTTTTTAATATAAGAGGTAGATGGGCTTTCATGGTGTGTAAAACCATAAAATATATAGTAAATAGTATTTTATTTGTTAAAAAAATATTTTGACACATTTGAACACTTCAGCAAATTTATATTTTAAATATCTCAATTTGTGTTTTGAATATGGGACCCGCAGACAAATTTAAACACATACAATGTTTAAAATAAACAATTATTTTAACATAGCAACATATTGTCAGACACACTAAACAATAAGCAAATGTGACTTCAACTAAGACATAACTTTCTCTTACACAGTCATAAACCCGTTGCAAAAATAGTTAAATAAACAGTGGATCAAGAACAATGCAATTAGTGCATACACTTGCGCCTTTTATGTATATAAGAATTGTCGAACGAACAATGGTACACCCATTATGGTATATAGGTCAAGATAATAGACAAAACTCACCATAGGTGGCTACGAATTATGGCAGCCATTGTACACAAATCTTCAAACCTGAAAACAAAACGCATTAGGATTTTGTCGACTTTATCGTCTCGCAACGAGTGTCTAGTATCGACTCTGGTTTTCGTTATTGTTTCGTGAGTTTTGTATAGCAATATCGGTTAGCGTTTGTGACGAAAAGGACTAAAATACCAGTAAACTAACATAGACTATACAGGTTTTAGCTGGATTTTCGCCACTAAATTTTGATCACCGCTATCCAGTGAATACATTCGGCGTTTTTATAATACACCTCGTAGTGTATAAACGTGCTAAACTTAGATTTCTCAAAATATATTGAACGCAATTGTATATTATCTTTTTTATCTGATTCGTTTTTGTATGAAAATGAGACGATAGCTAAATTTGTTATGTATGTATTAACTACCTCGATGTGATAAACATTCCTTGTTTACTATTTCATGGGTTTTTCTTAAAAATTAACATCAAAACTGAAACTGAAATTGTAACCCATACTAGACACTGTACTTAAGATTAGAGTGCAAAACTTTCGAGTTTTATTTTCTTTTAAAGAGGGAGTAATGTGATTTGGTTTTTGTACAGAAGTTTGAAAGTGAAATCTTGGGACATGATTCCAAATCTTCTTTTCAAACTGAATTATTTATATTTATGAAAAGTACTTTTTTAACCCTTATCAGCCTATTCCTTTTTGTAGCTTTCACTGTGCTACGATGCAAAGTTATAAAATATTAATCTGTTTTATGCGTGATTTAGAATTGAATCCTTATAAGGCTTTCAAAATTGTGTGTGTCCTTTCACAAAAATACAAGGACTTTGTAAGAATTTCTAGTCCGTCTAGTGCCACAACAGCCTCAAATTCCTTTAAGCTTGACCGCTTTGTGATAACACGAGTCCTTGGCTACAGGTCCGGCTTGAAGGACCAAAATCACAAAAGAAAATAAAAATAATATTGTCTTCATTAATAATGACATACGTACAACAAAATACTTAATACTATGTAAATACTATTTTACTAAAGATAGTGGAGGCTAAGACTCGGGTTTTAACAACGACAATTTTGATAATCTCCGCACTTATACAGGAAGTAAACTTGTGCGAGAAGAAATGTATAGCTTTTACTTTGACACACATTTTTAGATGTAACAAAATACACAAAATGTATTTATACATAGAAATAACACTGAATAAATAAAAATAATAGATTGGGGAGTATGGCTTACTGTATTGTTTATTGTATTTTTAGTTCTAGTTCTTCTATTAAAATTATACTGCGAATTACAATTTTTAAATACAATACTATTTGATTAAATTACATCAATGGCGCTTCAACCATTTTAGGTCTGGGTCTCAGATTTCTGTATCTGTTTCACGATCATTTGGAATTGTAATAGGAAAGTAGGTGATCAGCCTTCTGTGCCTGACACACACCGTCGACTTTTTGGGTATAAGGCAAGCCGGTTTCTTCACGATGTTTTCCTTCACCGTTAAATGCGCTCATAGACAGAAAGTCCATTGGTGCATAGCCGGGGATCGAACCCTCAAGGGTGAGTAAGTATCTGATTCTATGAGTTTTCATATTTTATATGTTGCAGAAGGATATTCGGTTCTTGTATGTAGTTTTAAAACCAATAGAAGACCTTTTAAAAATAAAAATCGCCTTAATTCTAGTTAGCTTACTGTTCGTAATATGGAAAAATCAAACAATATCATCCAGTAGCATGGTAACTATTTGGTTTTGTTACAATTTAAAAAACGAAATTAATTACCACTAGTAAATCATTTTTGGAATGCAGTTTTTTGGGCACATCCTTGTTTCTTTCGGTCGCAAGTTCTAAAATCACGCTGATGCCCGGATATTTCCTATTCGTAAAGACTGATGATCTATAACCATAGATCTTTTTTGTCCTAACATATTATAGGCATCAAGTCTGTCACAAACATAAGCAATAATTGAACGCGATAATCAAGCCAAAAAAAAAATCTTTGTCAAAGTATCTCTAAATTATCATCTTCACTTAGACTTACCAAGCTTTGTAAGCAAGTAAGCAAGATCGTATAAACATGTGTTAAAAATTAATATTCAAAGAATGAGTTGATTAAAACTTTAATATAGGTTATGAAACTTTCTTAAAAGAAATTAAGTTTACAGAGACTTCGCTGCGGATAGGACTTACTTGTTTGAGACCTACAATAAACTAAAATGTAAGACTTCCTTTCTGCGTTTATTGAATTTTGTATGAAAAGCCTTACAAAGTTTTTTAATTTCGGTCTGCCCGTCAAAAGTTAAAAACTTAAAATTCATTTGACTTTTTGAATTTTAACGCATATAAACTGTTTAATTTACTTTTATATACGAGACTAGAAGTACTTGAATATTTATAAAAAATTGTAAGTAGGTTCCAATTTAAAAAAAAAAACCTTTTTGAATATTTGACTAGTTAGAAAATTGATTCTTTTGTTATCGTTCTCACTCTAACTGTATCATAATTGTTATTATCTAATATATAAAATTATCGTGTCACAATATTCGTTCCCATACTCCTCCGAAACGGCGCGACCGATTCTTATGATTATTTAATGCACATTCAGTAAGTCTGAGAATCGGCTACTATCTATTTTTCAAACCCACCACAAAAAAATTTTTTTTTTTTTTTTTTTGGTTTTTAATTTTTATGATACAGCATACACAAATACATACAACCCCTAATTTTCACTCCTCTACGATCAACCCCTATTTTTTATTATAGTAGATAGTTATTTTATTGAACTAAAAAGATGTTCCCTAGAAATAATATACATGGCAAAACAACGTAGTCAACACGGGTCAGCTAGTATAATAATAAAATTATTGAAGTAACCAGTTTTAGAAAAAAAAACTGACTGATGATTTTTTTTGTCATAATATGGGGGAATTCAAATTTCAGAAACATTTATATTCAAGTCTTGCATAAGCATTACTCTCACACTCGCTAGTGTATTCTTGGTCTAAATATACAAAACATTACGTTACAAGTTTATTATAAGTTTTATTTAAATACTACTTGGCACTTGCCAGACTTTAACAATCAAACAAACGTCTCGAACGCGTATAAAAGATTTCCAATGACTAACCAGACCGAAACGTATACCAAACGTAAATAAACAATGGATTTTATTTCGATCCTTTCTTCTGTTTTTTTTATGTAATATCACGAGAGTTCACGGCAAAGCCGTGACCACGAATTCCCCATATTCGTATTTTTATTTTATCGCCCTAAAAATTATGTTTGTAATCATCTTATAAGTGCCTCTATTTCTGTCTTTATCGGACGTTAAGGCAGAATATGACCATTTCTTAAATAGCCAGTAACGCACTTCCAAGCCTTCAAGCAATGTGAATGTCCATGGGCGGCAGTATCAGTTAACATCAGGTGCAGGGCAAACGCCCCTGTATTATAAAAAAATAAATGTTACCAATTATGGAGAATATATAGATTTTTACTTCGTCCTCATTGCCTGATTGGACGTATGCCGAAAGTATCCGGAGATTTATAATTTTACAGGTCTTAACAGGTATACTTCATTCGAGATATTTTATTCGGACTAGAAAATTGTATTTACAACATTTCGACCCCACATTTCAATATA